GCCAGGGGTTCCCAACCCCTAGGCCATGGACCCATAGTGGCTGTACTGTGGGAGGTGAGCGGCAGGCCTGCAGCAAAGCTTCGTCTGTATTTGCAGCCCCTCCCCATCGCTCGCATGATCTTCTGAGCTCTACCTCCTGTCAGATCAGCGGCAGCATTAGATTCTCATAGGAGCACAAGCTCTATTGTGAGCTGTGCATGTGAGGGATCTGGGTTGCAGCTCCTCTTGAGACTCTAAAGCCTGGTGATCCAAGGTGGAGCCGAGATGGTGATGCTCGTGCCTGGGAACGGCTGCAAACACAGATTAACTTGAGCAGTGAGGTTTGCCTGCACAGAGACCTTAACGGCTTACAGATTCATATGAAAGTAATTTCCTAATTTCAAAACAACTATTTCATCATGTTACAATGTAATAATAATGGAAATAAAGTGCACAATAAATGCAATGCACTTGAATCACCCTGAAACCACCCCCCCCCAGGTCCATGGGAAATTGTCTTCCGTGAAACTGGTACCTGTGCCAAAAAGGTCCTTTGTGTAGCAAGGCACGCCTTCTAGGTTTGTGTAAGTACATTCTGTGACTCAAAAAAAGTACATTCACTGTCCTAGGTCCTCACTTTCACTCACCGGAGCTAGCTTCATTCGAGGGACGTGCCCTGGGCAGTTTGTCGACCTAAAATAAAAGACTCAGGATCCAGTAAAGAATTTTTTGCCGGGCTCGGTGGCTCAGCCTGTAATCCCGCACCTTTGGGAGGCTGAGGTGAGTGGATTGCCTGAGCCCACGGGTTCGAGACCCGCCTGGGCAGTGAGACCTCATCTCTACAATAAATCAAAAAATCAGCCAGGCCTGGTAGCGCGCGCCTGTAGTTCCGGCTACTCGGAACGCTGAGGCGGAAGGATCGCCAGAGCCCAGCAGGTTGAGGCTGTGGTGGCCCGGGAGCGGCCACTGCACTCCAGTCTGGGCGGCAGAGTGAGACTCCAACTCAAAAAAACAAAAAAAGTTTCTTTAAGCGTAACGTGTGAGGGTGGCTACCAGAGGCCTCATAGATGCCAACAAATGGTGATTAGTGCTCCTTGCATGGAAAAAGGTGAGGATTGTTTACACAGACAGAAACAGAGGTGCGCAGCAGAATTGCGTGTTCCACACAGAGCTGACATAATGGATATGTGATTTGCATCATTTAATCCGGGTTTGAGTGAAGAATAGGGAATCTGGGTGATGTATCCCATAGCAACACAAAGGTCAGGAAACACCAGTGGGGAAAAAACAGCAGTATTATGTGACTCTGTTTCCACGGCTCAACATTTCCTCTTGGAGTAATAAATTTGGAAGGTTCTGAAATTTTCTTTTCATAAGGTGTACCATTTTTTATCTTTCATTCCATAATTTTATTACGCCTTTCCTATTTTTAGATACAGATACACAAATACCATTGTGTTTCAGTTGCCTGTGGCATTTAGTATAGTCACATGCTGTGCAGGTCTGTGGCCTAGGAGCAGTGGGCTGTCTTATGGCCTAGTTGTGTAGCAGGACACACTTTCTAGGTTTGTGTAAGTACCTTCTGTGATGTGCACACAAAGACAGAATTGCTTACCAATGCGTGTCTCAGAATGTACCTCCCTCATGGTAAGAGTTCAGGTGATTTTTCTAGAAAGATCAAAGATAGAACCCTCCTCGTCAGTAGGTGTAGTCAGGGAAACTCCTTAACAGTGTGTGATTTTGGATCACAGGGCAGCCCCAGGCTTGTACAGATGGTGAATGGGAGGCCCCAGAAGAAATGGCAGTGTGGGCGGTGGCTGAGGACAGATGTGAGCAGAGACCCCTGCCGAGGTGGACGTGTCCTGGTCCACCAGGAATCCTCTTATTGCCCTTTTGTGGCACTTACTCTGTGTCATTGGTGGACTTTTGGGAAATGTAGTTAAAAACCTCATCTGTCAACCCTAAAATCTCTCCACAGAGGTAGAAAAGAAAGAAAACAATTTTATTATTGAAGAAGTATTAAACCAGATTGTGGCGCACATCACAGGCATTCCCCCACAGAGGCTGCAAGACACAAAGGTCACTCTTTTATAGCCAGGGGGATACAAGCCAACACACTTGGTAGGTTTTGCAGTTTTAAGTCAGTGACAAGTTAGTCTCTTCTCAGGAAACTGGGAGGTTGGCTATTACCTTTGTTAAATGGTTAATTTTGTCATTTCAGCATGTTAGAGTCTCTCTTAGTAGACATCAGGCAGCCACAAACCGGAAGTGACTCGGGGCTGACCGAGGAGTGAGGGGAGCTTCTACAGGGTGAGCTGGGAAGCAGAGCAGAGCAGAGCAGTCCCTTGGTTAGTGAAAGTGTACCCAGCAGAGCTCCTGTTAATGAACTAATGGTCAGCTGGAGTTTGTGATGGGCTAAGCCTGAGTTCATTTTGTTGAGAGCATGGGTGTTGGAGCCATCTCAGCCTAATGGCATCCCGTGAAGTTCTTAGAACATCTTGAGGGTTTAATTCAGAGAGATGGCTTCTGCTCCTCGAGGGAAATTTTCTGAGTTCTGAGACTGGCACATGTCTTACTTAGCCATGAAAAAGATTTGCATACATTTGAAAAGGAAGAGAAAGAAACTGCGAAAGAAAAGGGGATGTCTTTTTCCTTGTTTCCAGTAGGTGAAATTAAGCCATGTGTTTTTATTTTGCCTTTGCCTTAGCAGGTCAGGGTATGCCTGGCATTGTGGTCCCCTTCCTGGGATTATGGGGACACGCCTTGGGGATGGTGCAGAGAGCAGGCTGTGATCGACACTGACACCTCTGGAGGTGTGTCCTGAGGAAGCAAGGGTTGTCCACCTGTCTGATGACGTGTCAGGACCCTCCACCCAGCAACCACCGAGGTGTTGCTTAGTGGAAACGGTGTAAGCATCCGCCACTAGCTGCGTGAAGCAGAGTAGTCCATCCCTCCAGTAAAACAACAGACAGTAAGCACAAGCATCAAGGAGGATGCAGATATCTGTATAATGTGATCTTATTTTTATCTAAATATAGGACCATATTTGCGTGTAAAAACTCTGAAAAAACATACAGCAAAACATCAACAAAGTCTTTTCTAGTAGTAGAAAGTCGAATATTCTTGATGGATCTTTTCTAGTTAGCTTTTTAAAGAAAATGATTCTTTTTTTTTTTTTTTTTTTTTTTG